CACCCGAGCAATCCTTCGTAGACAGCGATTGTCGAAGACTGGCAGCCGGTTCATATCTTCCGAGGGAATAGACCAAGTCTCATAGCCGTACAAGAGTACTGCACGGACGGAAGCATTGTACACCCTGCCCTTGAGCTTGTGACTGACATCACGACGACGCCATAGGTGTCTGATGAATGCAAGGCAGGCCTTTGCTATCCGTTGTGAGACTTCATCTCCAACACCGCCACAAGCCGTGATGCAATTCCCTAGATAAGTAAAGCAAGGGACATGCTCCAGAACATGTCTAGCAATGGTGTGCGCGGGTTCAGGCATCAGCCTGTCCTGGAGCAGCCTTTTACACTTCCCGGAGTGAAGCATAAGCCCTACTTAGACGCCTCCATCGCCAAGCGGTCTAAAGCGCTTTGGACGGATAGTGAGTCGTCCTCAGCAAGGCGATATCATCGGCGTATTCCATGTCCGTGACTCTGTCTCCAGGGAGAAGCTCAACACCGCAGGACTGGACACTTCCAGTGCTTTTTGAACAATGACGATGGCGAAATTGAAGAGAAAAGGTGAAATAGGGCAAGCTTAGCGAACACCGCTGGTCACAGCAAAACAGAGTGTACCGTAAGCCTTGACTTTGCCCGACGTGTGACTATGAAGTTCTTTCAGGATAGTTACAAACTTGTCGGGCACACCTTTCTTCAGTAAACTGTACCACAACGCAGATCTATCTACTGAATCAAATGTCGCTCGGATGTCCAAAAACACTACGATTGTTGGCCACTGGTGGATGTGATGAAGTTCGAGAACTTGGCGAAGCGTGAAGATTTGGTCGATGCAGCCGCGGCCTGGACGAAATCTGGCTTGTTCTTCTCCGGAATACTCTTCTCTAGTCGTTGAAAGCCTGCTAAGTAGGACCGAGAAGAAGATTTTGGGGGCGACAGAGATTAACGAGAATCCGCGGTAGTTGCAGCAATCGTCGCGAGATCCGTTCTTGTGAATCGGAACAATGACCGATTGTCCCCATGAATTCGGAATCTTCTCCTCAGTCCGAACTTTCGTGAACAACGATAAGATTTCGCTGACAAGTACACTCCCGCCATCTTTGAATAGAGTAGGTGGTAGGTTGTCGGGACCCGTAGCCTTGTGGCGTTTCAAAGGTTGGCTTGCATTTCGAATCTCTGCTTCATTTGGGGAGGCTGTGGAGACAGGTCAAGCATCATACATTGGGGCTGGAGGCGTCACATGGGGCTGTGTTGGGTGGTTGAATTGAGGAGCGAAATGCTCTGCCCAGCGACCCATTCGCCTGTGAAGGTTGGTGATCTTCGTGCCGTCAGATTCGCAAATCGTCTGGCTGATAGCGTGGAAATTGCAACCGGTGGCCCTGATGATGTAAAATAGACGGTGGAAGTTGCCAGCTGATGCAGCGGCCACCGTCTCATCAGCTTGTTTTGACCACAAAGATTCACGATCAGAGGGAAGGCTTCCTTTCAGCTGTTGCGTAATAGACCGGCGGTGTTCGTTGTATTCTGCGTCAGCAGGCACCGGCCGTCGGCGGTGCACCAATTCCGAGGATCTTCCCGAGATCCAGCTATTGTGGGTGGAGCGAGCGAGTCCAAAGCTGGAAAAACCGGCCAACCGCAAGGTTTGTTAAAAACTTGACCAGTGTTGATCAACATAAAAGTGCCAGAGAGCGAGATTTTCAAGCAGCTTCTGTTGATACCCTTTCTTCACCACCCTACTAAGCAGAGCTACTAGTTCAGATATTATAGTACTTGCAGGGGATATGAACGCACAAGTATGTCGTATGAGCTCTTCAGAAGCTCAGCTGGGTGGTACTTATGAGCTTAACTAAGAACGGACTGACAACGGCGAGCGTATGCTGCAACTGTGTACGGAGCACCAGTAGTTTCGTAGTAGCACTGCTTTACAGCGGGCGCAGAATTGCCACTTGGAGTCCTCTTGTAGCTGACCAGCGATGGACCCATATTGACCACATAGCCAGAAGTTACAGGTGCCGTAGTTCCATTATGGATTGCCGCGCGTACTGGAGTACCTACGTCGACTCCGATCACGACTTGATACGCCGTCGTTCCTCTATGCACTTTATCGCAAAGTGTACCTAGCGTCTCCTCCGATTGGCAACTGAGAAATTGTCTCAGCCCTCGGTTAGGCAAGCCTATCAAGACGCACTGCGTACCGAATTTTCGCTGTCTTGCCCTAATGACACTGAGCTTCAGTGGAATAGGATTTCGGCCGCCATGCACGACGCAGGAGCATATGCTTGTGGCACCATTAATCGTCACCGCACCAGTCACTTGTTGTCTGAGAGATCGGTGAACCTGTTGGAATCCAGAAGAAACCTCCCGGCTGGCTCTGAGCACAGTGTGACCAGACGGGCTATTAGAGGCGAATTAAAGCGGAGCCTACGTGCTGACAAAAAAGCCTGGTGGACCAATCGGGCTCAAGAAATGGAGGAAGCATGAGTAGCAGGGAACCATTGGAAGCTCTTACAGCTGATCCGCACCACTGGTCCCAGGAAACCAGACATCAGTGAAACAACTAAAGACAGCGCAGATGCACTGATACACAATAAGGAGCGCCGATTAGCTCTTTGAGTGGGGCGCTTTGAAGATCGGTTCAGCTGCCCTCTGTTCCCGGACCTCAGGTGATGCAGCACGAGGCGTGGATGGTTAGTTTAGAGCCTCCGTCGGAGGCAGAGGTCCGAAACGCGCTCACAGCCCTCAATCGTTTTCCTGCCGCTGGCCCGGATTCCCTCCCACCTGCACTATTTAAGGATGGAGGTGAGATCCTCTGCAAAGCACTGACCTCTCTATTCGAACGTATCTGGAAGGAAGAGTGCCTCGTCTAATTGGAGTGAATCGATTATAGTGGCAATATACAAGGGCAGTCTCACAGACTGTTCTAACCACAGGGGTATTAGCCTAACACCAGTTGTGACAAAATTACTGGCCTCGATTCTCGTTCGTCGCCTCACTATAGAACGAAAATCTCGGATTAGGGAAGAGCAGGCAGGTTTCCGGATAGAATATGGCTGTATAGATCACAGATTCACTCTGCGGCGGGTGCTAGAGCAGCGTCACGCATACTGCAGACCGACAATAGCTGTGTTCCTAGATTGCAAGAATGTGTTCGACTCAGTCGATCGATCCATTTTGTTCGCGGAAAGGTGTCCACACGAAATATGTGAACATACGACGTGCCCTATACTCAAAGGGTCTACGGTGGCTTGTCGGATAACTTTCCGACCACAAGTGGCATACTTCAGGGTTGTCCAATTTTCCCGTTTTTGTTCAATTTCGTCGTGGATGCCATAATGGAGTGTTCTCTCACGGAATCTCACGGTGTAGGCATCGAGGTCCTGCTTGGTGAATGGTTAGCTGATCTTGATTATGCGGACGATATCGTTTTCCAGGATGCTGCGGCTGCACAATCAACCCTGAATAGCCTATTTAGAGTGGTTCTATTATTTGGTATGCTCTTCGCACCTTAAAAGTGCAGTGTTTCTACAGGACCACTAGGCCATTTGATTACCCCTTCACCCTTGATAACGGGGAGCTCGAGGTGATTGATCGATTCGCTTACCTTGCCAGCTGCATCAGCAACGATGGACGCATAGAAACTGAGGTTAGTTCACGCATAGCAAAGGCCACAGCTGCCTTCTTGAACATGCGGTATCTTTGGAGAAAGAAGGGAGTTTCCCTCCTTCTGAAAGGTCGTGTACACAAGGTCACAGTGAGGGTCGTCCTACTCTACGAGAGTGAGACTTAGTCCCTTCGGTCTGAAGATCTTAGGCGTCTTTAAGTCTTTGCTCATTGTTGTCTGCGAAGCATTGCTGGTGTCGGATGGCACCAGCGTGTTTTCAACGATGGTGTGCGTAGGCGAGTACTAGGTGGTGATAATCATGCTAGCTCCCTAGAACAACAGATAGCATTGAATAAGTTGCGTTGCCTAAGGCACATGCTACGTATGCCCGGTCACCGCTTACCTAGGAGGGCCTTGTTTAGTCTACCTGAAGTAGGATGGCGAAAGGTTCAAGGTGGACAGAAGTTGACTTGGCAGCGGGAAATGAGGTCACTGACCACCAAACCTGGTGCCATTGGTCCGTCTCGCCTTCCGGGCTAGAGTCCACGTGACTCGCCTAGTGCTTGGCTCGAGATTTTACAGGACATTGCTCGCAATCGACACCAGTGGCGCGTCTGCTGCCGTCTCCTAATCGGATTGTCTGTTTCAAGTGTGTTTGACGATGAGTTATCTGCGGGGTAATGGCTGATTATGACGTGGTGCAGTGAAAGCTGCAAAGAAGCTGTCTCGAACATGCCGCCTTACCTTTGCACGATAGCCAGCTGTTTGTGACGGCGTGTTGTCACACAAAGTGTAGGCGCCTTGACCCTGAATGTTTGCTTAGGGCATTAAGGTTCTCAGATAAGTCCCTCTTCTCTCCCTCTTGGATAATAAGATGTCATACGTCATCATGGTTGTATGGCAGCGAAGTGTCGGTTTATATGGCGGATGTACTGCTGTTGTTGATTGTTGAACGCAACACAAGCACACCGCCTTCAGCTAAGCACAGACCAATAAACAGTAGCTACAAAAGCATAACAATTTGTCAGTTGTTTTCTTAGTGCATTCCTTTTCTCCATATAGTCGCATTCACCAAAACAGCGTAGCTGTAGGTACCCCGGTGAAATCTATCTAGGGCCAAAAAGTTTGATGAAGTCACAATAGCGATGGAAACGGTCAAAGTAGACAGAAAACGGAAGCAACCAAAAGATAACGGCAAATCATCCCAACGCACTTCGGGTGAACAAAACAGTTCGTTCGTCAGAGTAGTCTGCGTAACTTTGTAACCTAAGATTGGTAGTACACAGAAGGTTAACTCAAAAGGAAGCAGCAGCTAACTGTGCACACTGGAAAAATAAAAATTCCGAAATGCAAAAATATTCAAATTCTCTGAATCACCAAGGATAAAAGATGGGACGAGAGAAGCTCACTTCGTAAAGGCTTCGATGTATATGTATATGAAGGAACGTTCAGGCTACAAAACAGATACCTTTGAGTATAGTGTGGTGCGGAAATACCACTGCCGTAAAGGACGACGCTCTACAACGGCACCAGATCGCCAGGATTTTCCTTGTGTGTCGATGAGTTCATCGGCCAGGACTGTTTGGTCTACAGGATCCCAGTTAACGAAAGCAGAGCGGTGGTACGCTAATCCTGCTTTGTACAGCTGTAGAAAAAGCCATTGTGTCCAACGATAATAACTGGGATCGCATGTACTCAGTTCACGGGATTTATCCAAAGCGAGAAGCATTGTAGAATCGAACTGTTGACGCATGCAATCAATATTCCTGCAAAACAAGCAGCAACAAAACAATAAGAAGATATAAACGTTGAAAGTTTCGACAAAATAGGTGATAATCTCAAGAGTCATGTTTATTAACTTCTAACGTTCACCTTAATGGTTTATAAGTAAAACTCAGGTCTGAGGGGACGGCAAAATTGCACCGAATTTCCACTAAATATATCAGTTAACAAACCGCACGCGTTTTTGATTCAGATCGAGGTGCCACAAATTAACTGCTTTGAAAGAGCGAGCTTATCTTTACGGATGCAGAAAGTCAAGTTGCGTAGAAACATGAATGCGGTGTAAATAGAATTCCAAGGTAATACAATGCTTCAGATGTTAATATGTGGTAAATATCGCAGATAGCAGGTGACATTATGATAAAAGACTTACTGTTTTGTCCAACTAGCTGGCAACACGCCGTGGTCAATAGCAGCATTCTCAGCAGGAAGCCCGAAAGCGTCCCATCCCATCGGCTGCAATGTGATCCGACCAGTCATCGATTGGTATCGACAAAGAACATCCGCAGTGCAGTAGACACGTAAGTGACCAAGATGAAGACTTCCTGATGGATAAGGAAACATGGCCAAAATATACGACCGTCTTCCCACATGTTTGTCCCATTCCTCAAGGTTAAGGATAATCGTTGGAAGCTTGAATTACTTCCGCTTTCATTTTATCGTACTGTCGAATTATGGAAATCCATTTCTCTTCAAGCGCCCTGGTGTTTGTCCTAATCCAGCAGCACTGAAGAACCAAAAGGTTATCCAAAACTGACGTACCGGAGCCACACAAACAGGTCGGTTGCGAGTGACGCAAGATGCAAGTCCCAGTGAAGGCAGAGACTTATGACGGAGGAACATGATAAAATGTGAAAAAAGCTGCAAAAAGTAAACTTGTTCAGAGAAACCCGCGAACATAGAACCAGGAGGAGCGACAGTTCAAACAACTCGCACAATCGTGATTTAAGACTAATGGTCCAGTTAGTAATTTAATCATCAAAAGCAATCGATTGTGAACCCGTGAGTATGCACTACACTATAAAAAGACATTAAGTGATTCCTCGGTGCAACAATCAGTTGCACTGTTTTGTGAGGTACATGCACTAAGTATCATTTTCCGTGCATAAACAAACATCGTCACAGAAAAAGCAGTCAAGTTAAACATATACGTATTCCGATAAAAATAGCAATTAATGTGATTAGCAGTGCAACGAGGTTTTTAGACGATATACTAGCCTTCTACGCTGCGTCTCTGCATGTTTTAGACCGCCTAAATTTCATATGGGGATTCACGGCGCAGCGATGACATAAAACCCAGACACTTGTTACATTTAAATAAGCAAAAGTAACAGATAAAAAACGTTCGTAGGCAGACGCATAGGATGCCTTAGGGAATCAAGAGAGAAACAGCGTTCGCGTAGTCCGATTTCAAGAGAGTGAACAAAACGTGCAAAATTGTGCTAAAGTCGATTTCTAATGAATTCTGAAAGTCAAGTTAACTTATACGGAGAACCGCTAGTTGCAAGCAGTGGATAAAGTTAGTGATCATTTTAGTAATTTGATAATTTGAAAGTACATTGCCCCCATGAAAATAAACAGGTGATTTCCTGAACCTGTGGCAGTCACACAGGCTAGCTGACAATGCAAGGATTCAAATTGAAGGAACTCCATGGTCGTTTCATCTTGAACGCGTCAATGAACCACGATACAGTTTAATGGTATGATTGACCATTTATAAGAGCCAACTCAACAACCACGGGTAACGTCCTAGTCAACCAATCAAACCCCATGTGCCTTGCGCAAGCAGTCCGTTGTGTCAGTCAAGCGCAAGTTCAAGTTCAGTTGGGACCAGAACGATAGGATAATCCCGTGAATGTTCCTTCTTTTGCGTTTCGTCGGATCGGGAATTGACAGGTCTGCTTGAGATGTTGAAAAGCCTAAAACAAAGACCGCATCACACCCTGTCCAACCAATTACTGCCCACATTCTCCTGCCCAGCAGTCCCTGCCGGGTCGGTTAATGTGAAGTAAAAGAGTGAAGGGTAAGCTAAGAAAACAAGAGGAGGAATGTCAGCTAAATAATGATAATACTAAGGTGAAAATTGAAAAAGAACAAAGGGAAAGTTGAAGATACAAGTCGGTTAGGAGAATGGGAAGGTTTGGTACTGCCACCCAAGAGCATCTAACTGACGCTCGAAACCCTTTACCGTAGACTCCCTAACCACGTGCGCCGGAAGCGAGTTCCAACATTCAATAACTCGACGCGACAAGCGAGTTTCCGTCCTTACCCGGTCAGAACGTTGTTTGTGCAGCTTCAACGGGTGACCTCGGAGACTAGGCAGCTTGGCGAGACTAAATAGCCAGGACAAGTCTGGACCGATCTTACCCGTTAAGATACGGTAAGTGAGGATCAAGTCTCCTCTAATTCTGCGGTAGTGCGTTGAGTACATACCCAAGCTAAGCAAACGTTCGGGATACGTTTGCCCCCGTAATCCTTGCACTAACCTTGTACCCACTCGCAAAACCCTCTCCAGTTCCATTGTGTCCCTTACAAGACAAGGTGGACAAGCCTGGATACAGTACTCTAAGTGAGGTCGCACAAAAGCTGAGAACAGCTTCACAAAAATATTGGCCGTTAGGACACCGAAGGAGCGGCGAATAAACCACATCATACGGAACCCTCTACAAGCAGCCTTCCTCCAATTTTCCCCAGAGTGAAGCAATGAGGTATGGGTGATACCTAGATCAACCTGCTGAATGACAACAGGGAGTTCACTTCCACCAACTACATAGCGCGTGAGAGGACTAGCACCTCCAATGCGGAGGACAGAACATTTCGCCTGATTTATGGGCATCAACCATAAGGTTGACCAATCCCAGAGCCTATCCAAGGCACTCTGAAGTGCCTCAGAGCCACCAGGGATATCCACAATATTCCAGAGCTTGAGGTCATCAGCAAACAATAGCGACGGTACTCCAAGCTCCTGGGGTAGGTCATTGACATAAATTGCGAAAAGCAACGGCCCTAGAACCGAGCCCTGCGAAACGCCACTAAGAACAGCTTGTCTAAGCGAAAGGCTACGCCCCACGCGTACACACTGTTCTCTCCCCTCTAGGAAAGCAGAAACCCATTTAAGGGCGGCTCCAGATATCCCATACGATCTCAACTTCAATGAGAGTCGTTGATGTGGGACAGTATCAAAGGCTTTCGAGAAGTCAACGAAAAGCACGTCGATGGCGTGACCGTTGTCTACTGCCTCAGCCCAGCTTTCACGAGCTACAAGTAAATTTGTCAGACATGAAAATCCCTTACGGAATCCGTGCTGGGCCGCACTGAGAAGGTTAAACTTAATCAGGTGATTCTCCACCGAATCCCTGACCAATTTTTCAAACAACTTAACTACTACACTTGTTAAGCTGACAGGCCGGTAGTTCGCGGGCAGAACTCTGTCCCCGCCCTTAAAAATCGGACAGATGATTGCCTTCTTCCATTCCGAAGGTAAGGCACAGCTGTCGAGTGATATTGTAAACATGCATGTCAGAGGGCCACTTAGCTCAGCGGCCAATTCATGCATCAGCTTCGGATGAATTGAATCAGGGCCAGAAGCTTTGGAAGGATTTAGCCCTTGCAATAGCCCGAAGACTTGTGTCTCCGTTATGCTGATTTCAGTTAGGCAAGAATCCTCCGGAACTTTTGTGACCAGCTCAAGCTGAGGTAGAGAGGCCTCATGAGAAAAGACACCAGTATACTGTTCGCTAAGGCATTATCATAGTCGGTATGCCCATGGGTCCCGTCCGCTCGTAGTAAAGCCGGTATAGACGAGTTTGTACCGCTACGTCTCTTTACGTAAGCAAAGAACTTTGGATTTGTTACAGCTGCATTAGCCAAATCCTCCTCGTACTGAAGACGAAGAGTTCTAAGATGATGCTTACATTTATTTCTAACCGCTCGATAGCTTTCGTAGGTGCTGGTTGATGAAGCCGCTTGGTAAGTTCGCCAGCACTTAGAGCGCTTCCTGAGCAGGTATTTACCTGTATGATCTATCCATGGAGGCTGCGCCCGTGTCACCTGTCTCTTAATGAGTGGGATGTGGGGAGCAGAGATCTCGGCGAGGTATGCCTTAAATTTCTCCCAGGCTGTCTCAACGGTGTCAGCCACGGTGATCGCACAACGCAGAACTGAAGCTTTGTCTCGCATTGCGTTAAAGTCTGCCCGCCAAATATTTGGACATGCCTCAGCGGTAGCTTGATGACACTTAGTTAGAGCACATCGAAAGGATATGCAGACATGGTCACTGGCTCCTAGAGGACAGTCGTAGGTAATATCACTTACGAAATCGTGTGACTTCGCAAAAATGAGATCCAAGGTAGACGGAATTTGGTTGCGCATATATCTAGTCGGGAGGTCCACGAACTGATGCAAAGGCAGTTGCAATGTTAGCTCAAGGAGATCCGAACCGAAAGTGCCCACCGCCGAACTGCAAGATAGATCAGCCCAGCAGACTTCAGGGAGGTTGAAGTCACCCAGTATTAGACACCTATTGGCAGCCTGAGTACGAATAAATTCGCTAACCATCCTGGAGATACTTCCAGGACTTCGATATACCACTACAACTGTAAACTGAGCAGAGGAAGTGCACACAATAGTCGAGAGGGCTTCAACAGTTTGATCCGGCGACTGGAACACACAGGTCCTCAACACATCAAGTTTACAACTCACATAAAGAGCGACGCCCCCACCTTGGCGGCCAACGGAGCGATCGCATCTAAGCAGTGCGTAGCCAGGAAAACATACTTCACCGTCTGTGATATCCGGGGACAGCCACGTTTCGGTGATAGCAAGTATGTCGCGATGAGATTTGTCTACAAGTAGACCCACCTCGTGTACCTTGTTCATTAGGCTACGCACATTACTAAGCACTACCTGAAGGAACTCGGCACGACCAGCCCTGGGTCGTACGCTACCAGGAGGGGTTCTGGTAGGGAAGAATTTGACTTCCGGCTGACCACCTGAAAACCCACAAGACGAAGGCCTTGCTCACCAGCCGCCCGCCTGCTCTTGGGGCTTTTGATGGCTTTCTTCAACTTCAGTCGATCTGCCAGTGGGAGGTCCGGCTGAACGCTGACATTACTACCCTTGAGTTTGAATGCAAAACGAATTAACACTTTGCGTTCCTCCTGGGTTGAGAGGACTACACGAAGTAGTCGGGGTCGTGGATTTGGCGTGTCTACAGGGACGTTCCCCAATATGGTTAGTTTTCTGATAGTGACACCGGGGAAACCAGGTGGAAGCATCTTGTTGACGCAGAGCTTGAACCACTGGAGGTCATCCAGCATGCGTTCCTTTGGAAGAGCTGCCGCGGATTCAGCAACGTTACGAAAGATAACGCTACTATCAGTAAAAGAATCACCTCGACGACGTGTATTTACTCTACGTGACTTCGACGCAACCCAGTTTCGACCGGTTTGGCAGATGATATGGAGCGTTTCTTCGCCAAGTGAGCTGGAGTAATTGAGGTTGAGGCTTTATTTTCTGAAACGTAAAACATTTGATCCCCTTCAGCCACTTAATCAAAGCAGAAAGAAGGCACAGATTGCGATACGTCAACATTACGATTGTTCTCCTCAGTCACATACACAATACAAGCAGAAACACATACGCAATTATATACATAGAAAAAAATTAGCAAACCAATCAAAACGTCAAAATCAAGTCCAAGGCATTCGGATTGATTGTCTCAAGTGTTTCTGTGCATATACCACTGGTTGATAGACCCTAATTAGCAACGCTCCAGTGATTGCCAACATTATCGGATTCCGGTTAGGTAATAGCACTTTGAACGCAGTCTTGGGGTCCACATTGTGACCAGTTGTCACTAGGTGCTTGGTGATAGATGATGACAGAATCCGGTTCATTCTGGGAGGCTCTCCATTTTGTTGCGTCGTCATTTGCTCCACCCACTTTGGCAAGTGTTCAGCCACCCTCTGAGCCAACCGACGGTTAGTCCTGCCCATGTAAAGGTCACTGCAACTGCAGATGAACTGATAAACCACAAGAGAAGGCGAACTAGCCGAAGAGTAGCTCTGACGGTCATGAAGAACAAGTTTCCGAGTCGTGTGCATGGGGCGCAACAGGGCAGTCGTGTACGTGCGCGTTAGAGCGG